CAGATGAGTCAATAATATTATGATATTAATTATTTCCAAACTGATCTATAGATTCAATGCAATTGCAGTGAAAATCCCAGCAGAATCCCCCCCATCAATAAACTGATTCTAAAATTAATATAGAATGCAAAGGACCAAATATAGAGGCCAAAACATTGTTGACAARGAGGAATGTGAGGCTGAAGGTGTGGCTTAGTGGTACAGCATGTGCTTAGCAAGCTTGAGGCCCTGAGTTTGATCCCCAGCACCAAAAGCAAAACAAAATAGAACAAAAAAGCCAAACATAAAATATAGCTACACACCTACTAGAATGTCCAAATTAAAAAGACTGACCTTTGGGCACTCCTCTGTAAACCCAGTGGCTTGGGAGGCTGAGGCAAGAGTATCATGAATTCAAAGCCARCCTCAGCAAAAGCGAGGCACTAAGTAGCTCAGTGAGACCCTGTCTCTAAATAAAATACAAAACATGGCTGGGGATGTGGCTCAGTGGTGGAGTTCCCTTGAGTTCAATCCCTAGTACCCATGCCCCCCCACCAAAAAAAAAGCACTTGTCTAACATGCCCAAGGCCCTGGGTTCCATCTCTGGCACTGCAAAAAATGACTCAGAAAAAGACTTGTACACAAATGTTTGTGGCAGCTTTATTTGTAATAGATCAAAACTGGAAACAACCCAAATATCTACCAATAGTTGATAAACTATGACAGGATAAGCTACACTGAATTCATGTAATGAAATCTATACAGCAATAAAAGGAACGAAGTGCTGATACATGCTATGGTGTATATAAATCTCAAAACAGTGATGCTGGGGCTGGGGCTGTATCTCAGTGGTAGAGCACTTGCCTAGCACGTGGGAGGACCTGGGTTCAATTCCCCCACAACACATAAGAAAAATAACTAAAACAAAGGTATTGAGTCCATCTACAGCTAAAATTAAAAAAAAAAAAAGAAAGAAAGAAAGAAAAGAAAAAAAAGTGATGCTTAGTGACAGGCACCAGATTAAAAGGAGTACTTAAAAAAGAAAAAAAAAAGCTGGGATATAGTTCAATGGCAGTTTTTGTGTAGGGTCCTGGGTTCAATTCCTAATTCCGCAAAAAATATAAATGAATAAAAATAAAAACTAGAGTATATAGTGTAAGCTGGGTGTGGTGGCACACATCTGTAATCCTAGCCCCTGGGGAGACTGAGGCAGGAGGATTACACATTCAAGACCAGCCTAGGCAATGTAGAGAGACCTCTCAAAATAGTCAAAAAGGGGGCTGGGGATGTGGCTCAAGCGGTAGCGCGCTCGCCTGGCATGCGTGCGGCCCGGGTTCGATCCTCAGCACCACATACAAACGAAGATGTTGTGTCCGCCGAGAACTAAGAAAAATAAATAAATGTTAAAATTCTCTCTCTGTCCCTCTCTCTCTCACTTTAAAAAAAAAAATAGTCAAAAAGGGGGACTGGAGACATAACTCAGTGGTAGGGCATTTTCTTAGCGTACATGAAGCCCAGGGTTCAAAATATATATATATATATATATAAATAAAAAGGGCCTTAGGGTGCACCCACTAATGGTGGATGTAATAAACATTGATTACTTTTACCAATCTGGAAGACTCAATGTTGTTACTCAATTAACCCATTGAATGAATAAGTAAGTAATTTTTTTTTTTTTTTTGAGACAGAGTCTCACTATGTTGCCCAGGCTGGATTTGAACTCTTGCCTCAGCCTCCTGAGTAGCTAGAACCACAGGGCATGCCACCCTATCTGGCTTGTTGTCTAATTTAATGTTGCATTGGGTTGGTTTTGGAGGGACATTTTTATGCCTTCTTTGACATACCTGTTCATGGGTTTTGCTGACTTTTCTCCTCGGGTGTTGACTTAGCCATCACCTTGGAGAACCTTCTGGCTCTCACAACTCACACAACCTATTCCTTAATTTTTCTTGGTAGTATTTATTACCATCTGTCACACTATTCAGTTTTCTAATTTATCTTACACCTGTGTCCTCACACTAAAATGTCAAGCTTCAAGGACAGGGATTTATTCTATTTTGTTTTCTACTAAATACTCAATACCTATCATATGTCTGGCACACCGTAGAAAATAGACTTTGTGAAAAAATAAATTCTTGCTTTTTTTCCTTTCCTATGGAGGTGCTTGTTGATGTGAGTTTTCTTTATGTGTTATAGGCATGAACCTTTTGTCTAAAGATGCAAATATTTTCCTTATTGGTATTTCTCATTTGCTTTCTACACAAAAATTTAAAATTTTTTGTGGTGACATAACTATCTTATATTTCATGACTTTGGGGCTTTGTATCTTCCTTCACTAAGACTGTAATATAAGTTTTGTATATATTTTTCTTCTAATGATATAGGTTTTCCCCATGCCAAGCTTTATTTCATCTAGCATATCTTTCTGAGATATCAAACACCCCCCCTTTTTTTTTGCAATGCTGGAAATTGAATTCAGGGTTCACTTATGCCAGGAGAGCACTCTTTCATTGAATACTTCCTAGCTCTATTTTTTTTTTAAGTGATAGCCAACTGTCTGAATTTTATCTGTGATACTGGAAATTTAATTTAGGGACTTTCTATCATTGAATTACATGAAGCCCGCTTTAATTTTTATTTTGAGATAATGTGATCCTCCTATCATAGACTCCCCAGTCGATGAGATTACAAGATTGTGCCTCCATGCCTGCCTTGTCCATATTTTTGTTTTGGTGGTGGTGCCAGGGATTGAACCTAGGTTCTCATGCATGCCAGGGAAGCACTCTACAACTGACTCACATTCTTAGCCCTTGTCCATATTTTTATTAAGTTATCATTTATGTGATTTTTTTCCCTTTGTCTTTAAAGGGCCAGCTGTTTTTTTTTTAGAGAATTTTTTAATATTTATTTTTTAGTTTTTGGCGGACACAACAACTTTGTTTGTATGTGGTGCTGAGGATCAAACCCGGGCCGCATGCCAGGCRAGCGTGCTACCGCTTGAGCCACATCCCCAGCCCCACCAGCTGTTTTTTGTTTGGTTTGTTTTTAGTACTGGGGATTGAAGCCAGGGGGTGATTTACCACTGAGCTGTCCCCAGTTCTTTTTGAGACAGAGGCTTTCTACATTGCATTACATTCTCAAATCTGAGGTCTTCTTGCCTCAGTCTCCCAAGTAAGTGGGATTACAGTTGTATGCCACCATGCCTGGCTTCAATTATATATATATATCCTCCTACCTTCTTCTGAGGCAGGAGGATCACAATTTCAAGACCAGCCTTCCTAACTTAGCAAGGCCCTAGACAACTTAGTGAGATCCTGTCAAGATAAAAAATAAAAAGGGCTGAGGATGTAGCTCAGTGATAAATCACCCCTGGGTTAAATCACTAGAACCATAATTTTATATATATAAATATATATATATATATAATTATACAGAGGAACTTAATCTTGTATGTTGCAGAAATATTTAGTACAGTTGGTTCTTCATATCTATAGGTTTTACATTGTGAATTCATCTAAACCTGGACCACAAGTATTTGGAAAAACTGTGTGTTCTGAACATGTGGTAGACTTTTTTCTTATCCTCATTCCTTAAAGAATATGGTAGAGGGCTGGGGATGTGGCTCAAGCGGTAGCACGCTCGCCTGGCATGCGTGCGGCCCAGGTTCGATCCTCCAGCACCACATACATACAAACAAAAGATGTTGTGTCCGCCAATAACTAATAAATAAATAAATATTWAAAAAAAAGAATATGGTAGAGCAACTATTTACATAGTAGCTGCATTGTATTTGATATGATAAGTAATCTAAAGATATTTTTTCCTTTTTTTTTTTTGTACAGTGCTGGGGATTAAACCCAGGGCCTTGGGCTTGCTAGGTATGTGCTCTACCACTGAGCTATACCCCCAACACTAAAGAGGATTTTAAGTATACAGAGAAATCTGGGTAGGTTATATGCAAATGCTTTGCCATTTTATATAAGTGACTTGAGCATCCTGGAGTTTGCTATCCTGAGGGGGTTGGGAGGTCATTCTGGAACCAATTCCCCTCTATACTGAGGGATGATTGTATGGGGCCTAGCACATAATGTGAGCAGAAATTTTTTGTGGAATGAGTGAATAAAGGAACAGATATTTATGTGCCTGGTCTATTGGGCGGTGAAATCGTAGTGTGCAGGTACATGAGAGCTAAAGGGAGTTTAGAAATTATATAGTTCAGTGTTAAAGTTTTTACCAATTTGGGAAGAAATTTTTAAAAAACGAGCACGTTTGTGAATCTTCACATGCCTGTGTAGAGAAAATCTTGCTAAGGCTGCCTGCCATCTGTTTTTGAAAAAGATTTTTTAAAAATTGTTTTTCTTTCTTTCTTTCTTTCTTTTTTTCTTTTTAGTTGTAGATGGACACAGTATCTTTATTTTATTTATTTATTTTCATGTGGGGCTGTGGATCAAACCCAGTGCCTCACACTTGCTAGGTAAGCGCTCTACCTACCACTGAGCCCCTTCGGGAAGGATTTCTGAAATCTTTCCCTTTTCGATTGTTCTTAATATGTGGTTCAATAACAGAAATTCTACTATTCATGAAATCCCAAAGTCAAGGAAAACACTGAATCGTAGTCTTACTCCTCTTTCCTGTACTGATCAGTACCTGGTCTCTGAGCGCCACTGCTTATAGGACTGGATACTTAGTAAGGCAAACAGGGGGTCTGCCCAGATCAGCAGCATAGACTGATGTCCAGGAAACAATCATGCAGTCGTTAAATTGTAAGGAAGAAGACAGGCTGACAGGTACTGCGTAGATAGAAACTGAGGCCCAGGCGAGCTCAAGGAACAGACCAGGGAGGCAGTCTGCATTGGTGTCCTCGCTTCTGTCCGCAAGGTCCAGGGGGCGGGGAGCTGGGCCGAGGGCTCCGGGCGCCCTCTCCTGGCGGAACGGCGAAGTGAGGCACGTGACCGGTGGGGCGGGGCCAGCGGGATCSGGCTGAGCGGAACGCGCGCGACTGTGGCTTAGTTTCCGGCCGGAGGCTCTCACCCAGCGCCCCGCGTCCCTGGGGGGCGGCGGCGGCGGTGGCGGCGGCGGCGGCTGAGGCTGCGGAGGCAGCTGGGGGGTCCAGAAGTCAACACCATGTCTAGTCTGCACAAGAGCCGGTAAGGGGCCACTGGGGGGCCGACTGGGCCGGCTGCTCCTGGCCGAGCCGCCCTTTCTGTCCCGCGAGCGGGTCGGCGTGTGTGCGGCTAGGAATCGGGGTCCCAGGGCAGAGGGTCTCGGGCGCCCACTTTTTAACCTCATTGCCTGTGGGCCGGAGGAGACGCGCCGCGCAGTCGCCGGGTTGCCCCCCTGCACCCTTCTCTCCTCCCCCCTGGACGCCTTCCCCTGGGTCTTCCTCATCCAGATCTCACATCCCCCTTCCCCCTTTCTAGCCCTCTGCCCAGTACTTGTTTCTCCAAATGCGCCCTGTCCCTCTTGTCCTTTTCTTGCTAGAAGTACTAGGAAACCCTGRTTCTGCCGTCTATCTTCTCCCCTAGGCAGAATTCTGAAGCATTGGCTAAATTTTGCTCACTCTTCAGTTTTCCTCCTGGACTTTTTAAACCTTTTGTCCTTGCCTGAGGGCAGGCTCAGAGATCTTGTAAGGGTTATGTTTTTGAGCGTGAAGAACTCTGGGCAGATTGCACAGGTCCGTTGTCTGCAGATCAGGTTACTCCGGGTTCCTAGAGTTGGTTGAATTCAGGTAGTGGCCTTGCTGTGGACTGGGCCTGGTCATCAGGAAGTGCCCAGCAAATGCCACTTCACTAAACATTAGAATGTGCTTACTTAATTTTGTGGTGCTTTTTTGATAAGCTCTAGAGAAGAATATCTCTCAAGTCTCTTCACTGGCATTCTGTTTCTGGGGTCAGAGGAAGAAGTGGTTTATAGCTTGGAGACTGGTCAGTGTAAGGAAACTGTGGGCTGCAGGTTTGGTGACTAAGTCAGCACCTTGGGGTKTGAGTGTGCTAAATTTGCCTCCTTCTATCCTCTTCTAGGATTGCAGATTTTCAGGATGTCCTGAAGGAGCCTTCAATTGCATTGGAAAAGCTTCGGGAACTCAGTTTTAGTGGTAAGCGGCAACCCTGCACTTTCAGTCTTTCTGTACAACAGTCTTATGGCTGAAGTGGAGGGAAAGGCATCCAAAGCCACATCTGGTCAGTTCTGGGGAGTAGCCTGACTCTTGGGGCCTTCTACAGATTGTGTAGCAGTGTCCTGATCTCAAAAGAAGTTACCCAGAGCACTGGTAGCTACAGTTAAGTCTTAGATAGGGAGGCCTATGTTCCTGGAAGTCACTGGAGAGAATTGAAATGGAAGGATGAAGTCTGGTGTGGTGGCTCACGCCTATAGTCCCAGTGACTTGGGAGGCTGAGGCAGGAGGATCACAATTTCAAGACCAGCCTCCCTAACTTAGCAAGGCCCTAGACAACTTAGTGAGACCCTGTCTCAAGATAAAAAATAAAAAGGGCTGGGGATGTAGCTCAGTGATAAATCACCCATGGGTTAAATCACTAGAACCATAAATAAATAAATAAATAAGAAATGGGATGATGAGAGTGGGGAAATTTTTGAACCTTAGTTTGGTCTTTCCTCACTCCTCAGATGGCTTCTGTGGTTGGGAATTTGGTTAGCTATAAGGTGGTTCCAGGTTCTCAGGCTTAGGATCAAAGCTGACTAAGGAGACAGTGAACTTTGGTTAATGGTAAAATTCCAGCCTTGGTACAGTAACAGGAGGTAAAACTTGGCTACGTTTGACTTTGCCCTCTCCAGCATGGTTAATCTTTCAGCATAGAGATCACCTGCTTTTTCCCACCTTTAAAAATATCCCATGGTCTTCATATAGATTGTCATTGTCCTGTCCTTGTAAATTTTTTAAAATTATTTTTTAGACATTGATGGACTTTTATTTTATTCATATATTTGTATGTGGTGCTGAGAATTGAACCCAGTGCCTCACACATGCTGGGCAAGTGCTTACCACTGAGCCACAACCCCAGCCCTGTCCCTGTAAATTTGACAGCAAGAAGTATATGCTCATGTCGATTCAGAATCTATAGGGCATTTGCTCATGTTCACAGTATCAGGGAAACCATCACAACATCTGCTCTTGTGAGGTTTCTGACACTATTGCAGGAGCAGTTGGTCTTTCTGCAATGGGATTTAGGCACCAAAGGGGAGGCAGTCTTGGTGATGGTAAAGAGTTTGGGCTCTAGAGTCAGACCTGTGTTCAGGTCCTTGATTGCTGTGTCTTTCCAGATAAGTTTCCTAATCAGTAAGATAAGAATGAGTCAGGTGTAGTAATGCATACTTGTAATCCTAGCTACTCAGAAAGCTGAGGCAGGAGGATCATAAGTTTGAGACCAGCCTCAGTAACCTTGCGAGACCCTGTCTCAAAATTAAAAATACAAAGGACTTGGGGGGATAGCTCAATGATAAAGTGCCCCAAGTTCAATCTCCAATACTGGGGAGGGTGCGGGGAGAAAGAGGATGATGATGCTAATCTTTCTTCCTTTCTGGGGGTATAATAAGTGTTACATGAAATGATGTCTGTAAAGTACAAAGTACCTAGCCCCATAGCTTAGTTTGTGTTCCACAAGTGCTTATTGAATACCTTCTGTGTGACAGGCCCTTCTCTAGGCACTGAGAATAATAAACAAATGTGGTTCTTGTCTTTCTGAGGCTTCCTAGTAGTAGGAGTTACATACATTAAAATATACAAAGTAGCCAGGTGTGATGAGGCATGCCTTTTACAGGAGGCTCACAAGTTTGAGGTCAGCCTGGGCAATTTAAAGAGATTTTGTCTCAAAATAAAAAGTGAAAAGGACTGGGGGTGTAACTTATTGGTAAAGTACCCCTGGGTTCAATTTCTAATATCAGAACTAAAAAACAAATTACATAATTTCAGTTGTGATGGATACTATGAAGAAGTCACAGAGCGATTGTTGTTTATATATAAAGATTTGACTGGGTAGAGTTAGTGCTTGGTAATGGCTCCCCTGAGGAAGAAAAATCAAGGATGAGAAGGTGTCTTCCTTAAAAGAGCATCCCAGACAGGGATCTCTGGGCCGAGGGCTGGGGCCATGGACAGAAACTGGAGAGTGAGCATCCAGCTTAGTGATCTTGTGGACAGTGATTCTTGAAGAAGTACTTCTTGCCCACTTTGTTCCCTGCCAACTGGCTCCAAGGTGGATGGCTGGGGGGTCTGGGAATCTGGCCTGGGGTGACCTTTGCCTGCTGTGTCCACAGGCATCCCCTGTGAGGGCGGACTGCGGTGCCTCTGCTGGAAGGTGGGTGTGCCTGGGGTGGGGCTACTGCTCTGCTCAGAGTCCCTGGGTTCCTGCATGGGCTATCCCCACCCTTGGCCCCTTCCTCCTATTCTGCACCTTTCCTTGCTTGTCTGAGGAAGCTTTTCTGGGAAGTTCTGGGTTTCCTGTCCTTGGCATCTCCTCCACCATCGCCTTGGGGAAGATACACTTTGTAATGCCAGTAAAGGCCCTTTCTTCTGGCACATATGGCACAGCCAAAGTGGTGCTTACTGGGACAAAACAAAGGCTGTATTGTGCCTGAAACTGTTAGCAGACATGTTGGTGGAAGCTCAGTATCCTGGTTTCCAGCCCCTTTGAGCACCTTGTTTTATTATGATTTGGAAGAATCAATGTGAGGAAAAGCAGAGGAAAAGGTACTTAGGGGTGAAGGAGGAGGAGGCAGTGGGGAGGAAAGGGAGGCTCAGGTCTGCGTTCCTGGGTAGTCATCTGATCTGCTCTGGGCTTTGTGAAGACTTTGTTTTGGGGGCTGGGGATATAGCTCAGTTGGTAGAGTGCTTGCCTTGTGTGTACAAGGCACTGGGTTCCATCCCCATACCACCAAAAAAGGAAAAAAAAAACAAAACCTTTTTTTGTGTAGTGCTGGGGATGGAACCCAAGGCATCACACATGCTAGGAAGTGCTCTGCCACTGAGCCACTTCCCCAGCCCATTCATGAGGCCTTTTTTGAAGCTCATCTGCTTCTATCTGCTGTTCAGGCTTGGGACAGGAGTCCTCAGAGCTGTGCCCCTCTTTGCAGATCTTGTTAAACTACCTCCCCCTGGAGAGAGCCGCATGGACTTCCATCCTGGCCAAGCAGAGGTAGGACCYGTGAAAGGGTAACGACGCTAGGGCTTTTGATCAGAGAGGACTAGCGTTGCCAAGATTGTCCTGCCTCCTCTACTGCTTCTCTGGTCTGGGCTACCTGGGCAAGACCTTCAGGCGTCATCCTTCTCTCCTCTTCTCTCCTGCAGGGAGCTATATTCTCAGTTCCTGAGGGAAATGATCATACAGCCTGGCATTGCCAAGGCCAACATGGGTGTATCCAGGGAGGATGTGACCTTTGAGGACCATGTGAGTAGGGGTTGGCAACAGGGACTGAGGCTGTTTAATGGGGTGGGGAGCGGATTTGGAGCCATGAAGATCTTCCTTGTCAGAGGATAAATGCAGCCTGGCCTGGGTCCCCTCTGGCCTTGCCAATTCCTCCTCTCTGCATTGTGTTGCCAGCCTGACAGGTATTGTCTCTCCCTGCCCAACCAAATGGCCTGGCCTAGTCAGTAACATAGACAAGAACCAGTATCCCAAGAGTGCTGTCGGTGCAGCCCTGCGCCCGTTGCTGCAGCTCAGCACTCATTCCGATTCTTTGAGGAGGGTCCTGTGATTGCTTGGTTGAAGGAAGCAGAGCAGGGCAGAAGTGAGGGTAAGCTGCGTGTCTGGCTTGGAGGAAGCTCCGTTCTCCAATACTGAGCTGCTTCCTGGGTGCTTCACAGTGCAGAAAGTGCAGATGGCCTGGTCTTGGGCCTATCTTCCAAGGGAGGGAAGTTGATAGAGGAGTAAATGAAATTCAAAGAAGCCTAATGATCCAACATTCATTCATTCATTCAACCATGCAGCAGACCTTTAGGAGCACCTGTTGAATGCAGAGTTCTGCAACTRGGGTGGTGGACAGAAATAACAGTCTCTGCCAAGCAGAGATGACCACAGGTTCACTGGCAGCTATGCAGTTTGAACATGGTCTGAGGCCTGTGCTCTGTCCTCTTAGTGGTCCTCAGGCTGCTGCCTGGCCACAACTGAGGCTGTGGAGGATTGTGAGGCCACTGCTCAGGTCTCCAGGCTGGGACCTCCCTGACTGGGCCTTGGACAGAGCAGCTGCTTATCTCCCACAGCCCCTCAATCCCAGCCCCGACAGCCGGTGGAACACGTACTTCAAGGACAACGAGGTACTGCTGCAGATCGACAAAGATGTCCGGTAAGAGGCACGTAGTGGCTGGCAGCTGGCTTAGCAGCCTTCCAAGGGTTTCTTTTGTTCTGTGCTTTCCCTTTTTTTTTTTTTTTTTTTGTAGTATGGGGATTGAGTCCAGAGAAACTCAACCACTGAGCTATACCCCTAGCTCTTTTTATTTTTTATTTTGAGACAGGGTCTCACTGAGTTGCTGAGTCTAGACTTCACCTTGCAGTTCTCCTGCCTTAGTCTCCTGAGTGGCTTGAATCACTGGTGTGTGCCACCACACCCAGGCCTTTCCTTGTCCACCCACCCTGAGGAGCTGCTGGCGTACTTTCCCTTGGGTGGGTCCAGGCTGTGGGCACAAGGGGGTGGGCATCTGTGCCTATGTGCACTGGCTCTCCTTATCCATGCCTGGTTTCATTTGTACCCATTCCATAATTATTGAGCCCTTCCTGAGGGTCAGGCTCAGGGTTATACTCAGGATTGAGCACTGAATAAATAGGCAGACTCAGCTCCTGTTCATAGAAGGAGCTTTGAAGCTAGAGGGGAAGATGTCCAGGCAGACTTTTCATCCAATTAGATGGTACGTGCCAATTAGATGGTACATGCTCTGAGGGAGAAGCTGGAGGCCTGGGGCTTTGGGGAAGCCTTGTCTGAGAGAGCAGTGTTCCAGCAGAGATTCAGGGAGTGGGGACCTTGGGGAGAGAGTGTGAGAGAGGCCATTGTAGGCTGAAGCTTCCTGGGGGGGCCTTGAGAGCTCATGGAGCTGGGCACATCTGAGGAGCCATGCCAAGGCTATTGTGGGAGGCAGGGACGACCTCAGACTTGGTCCCAAGGTCACGGGGTAGTTGTGGTACGGAGGTTTTAAGCAAAGGAATGACAAGTTCAGGCATGTATTTTTAAAAAATTGTGAGCTACAACGTGTTTGCATTTTTCACTTGATGAAGAAACATGGGAAGGCTGTCTCTGCTATGCTCTTGGACTGGGGAGTCTGGCAGTGTGTGGAATCTCCCGGGAGGCTAGGGGAGGGGTGGAAGGGAGGTTTGTCTTGGAGCAGTGSGGTGGTCAAGCACTCTGGAGTCTCTTTGTCTAGTTTCCATTACAGCTTTGCTGATTGTTACTTGGTGACCTTGAGCAAGTGATTTAGGCTCTCTGAACATTACTTATCTGTGAAGGAGTGAGATGGATCAGGTTCAGAACATTGAGGGGGCCTGGGAGCACCACAGATAAATAAGAGTGTTATGCTGGTCTTAGCACAGCTGAGAGAGTCCCTTAGAAACATCAGATCAGCCATTTGAGAAGGTCCCAGGAGCCTGTTCCCTTCACAGTAGCCTGCCTGAGTCCTCTCCTGGTGTTCTGTCCCTGGTCAGACACGACAATCTCTGTCCTGCACAGTGACCCTTCAGTATTTCCAAAGGACAGCTCTTGGATCCCCACATTAGTCTATTCTGACACAGGCTAGGTGTGCCTTCCTTCAGTGCCTGTGTGAGTAGGGGTTAGGGGTAAAAAAGACAGCAGGGGTCTTCCAGTTTCTGAGAGGAGGCAGATGTTCAACAGATACATCATTGCAAATACTGTGAATGCTGTGAAGGAAGGGGGAAAAAAAACAACAGTGCTCTTGAGAGAATAAGAGGCCCTTATTTTAGAGGAGGTGATTCAGCATGAGACTGGAAGGAAGAGGAAGGACGGGAGGCCCAAAGCTGTTGGAAGAACCTCCTGGGCTGAGGGACAGCTTGTGAGAATGGCCCATGGCTTGGGAAGAAGGCTTGTGGTGGGGTGAAATCAGGAGGAAGGTCCTGCTTCTGTCACCCTTGGTGATACCCCTCTGAGCAAGGTGGCTGCAGAGAAAGGGTCTCTTGTCTTTGTTCTTAGGCTGACAATACTGTACCCTCAGGTGTTCTAATGGCCAGGTTAAGAGCTGCATTTTGTGGTTCTGGGGAGGAACAGGGGTTCTGCTCACACTGTGGGTAATTGTAGTATGTTGTTCCATGTTTCTCGAAAGCAGATTTGTAATGTAGCATGCATAAGAAGTCTGAAAAAGCCAGACACAGTGGTGCACATGTCTAGTAATCCCAGCTACTCGGGGGACTAAGGCAAGAAGATAACAAATTTGAGGCCAGCCTCTTGTCTAAAATAAAATTTGAAAAAGCTGGGGATGTAGTTCAATGGTTGAGCACCCGGTTCAATCTCCAGTACTGCAAAAAAGAGAAAAGTTAGGTTGTATGACCATAAAGATACTTAAAAAAAAAAAAAAAAAAAATATATATATATATATATATATATATATATATATATCGGGGCTGGGGATATAGCTCAGTTTGTAGAGTGCTTGTCTCACATGCACAAGGCTCTGGGTTCAATCCACAGTGCAACACACACACACACACACACACACACACAAAGGTGTTATGTGTCTAAAAAGATTATATGTATCTTTTTACAAATACATACAAAAATGGGTATATGAACATGTGTAGTGGACTTGCTTTTTTTGTTGTTTTTTTAATTGGTGGACTTGCTTTTTTAATATTTATTTTATAGTTGTAGTTGGACACAATACCTTTATTTCACTCAATTTATTTTTTACGTGGTGCTGAGGATCGAACTCAGGGTCTCACTTGTGCGAGAAGAGYACTCTACTGCTGAGCCACAATCCCAGCCCCAGACTTGCTTTTTAAAAAAAAACATTTTTTTTAGATAAAATGTTATAATTTTATAGCAAACAAAATTGAGGTCAGGCRCAGTGGCACATGCCTATAATCCCAGCAACTCAGGAGGCTGAGGCAGGAGGATCACAAATTCTAGGCCAGCTTCAGCAACTTAGTGAAGCCCTAGGTAACTTAGTGAGACCCTGTCTCAAAATAAAAAGTAAAAAGGGCTGGGGATGTGGCTCAGTCCCTCTGGGTTCAGTCTCCAGTATCAAAACAATAGCAACAAAAAATGTCCTGGGAATGCTGGGCCCCTGGCAGCAGGTTCTATTGGAATGGCCACAGGAGCAGCATGCTCTCCTGTTCCTTCTTTTTTTTTTAATTTATTTTTTAAAAAATATTTATTTTTTAGTTGTAGTTGGATACAATATCTTTAATTAATTTACTTATTTTTATGTGGTGCTGAGGATCCAACCCAGGGCCTTGCCCGTGGTAGGCGAGTACTCTACCGCTGAGCCACAACCCTAGCCCCCACTCTTTTTCCTTTATTAAAATTTTTTTTTCTGTAGTTCTAGATGGACAGAATGCCTTTATTTTATTTGTTTAATTTTATGTGGTGCTGAGGATCAAACCCAGTGCCTCATGCATGCTAGGCAAGCATTCTGCCACTGAGCCACAACCCCAGCCCTCTCCTGTTCCCTCTTGACAGGAGGTTGTGCCCAGATATATCCTTCTTCCAGAGGGCCACTGAATACCCCTGTCTCCTCATCCTGGACCCTCAAAATGAGTTTGAGACCCTTCGTAAGCGGGTGGAACAGACAACACTGAAATCCCAGACAGTGGCCCGGAACCGGAGCGGGGTCACAAATGTGAGTACTCACTGGGGCTCCCAAACTCCTCTGACATCCTTTCCCTTCCTGTTTCCCTTGAGCCACTAGCCACAGTCATTGGGCCCATGACCATCTGCCCTGATAGTCACCTAAAGTAACCTTGGTCCTGCCAGACCCACTTCTGGGTGCTTTCTGAAGCGCAGTTTTCTCCAAAAACTGGCTCGTTGCATATGAACTGGGCTTCTGGCTGGCAGTGAAGGGTCTGATGCCAATGATCAGACCCCATTTCTAGTCTTAGGTGGAGAGGACTGACAGTAGTCACGGATGTGAGAAAGTGTGACAGGAGCAGGGCTGGGGTGGTAGGAGCTGATTAGGGCTGGTGTCAAGAGAAGCCTTCTCTGAGGAAGTGACTTTTAAGCTGAGACTGGAAAGATGAAGGAGAAAGTGTTCAGGTGGACAGGAGGGCTTGTGTTCAYGGAGAGAGCATGGTGTTCAAGGAATGGCGGGGTCCTGTGTGGCTAGAGGCAGAGAGTGAGGCGAGAGAGAAGGTGCTGGAGGATGCAGGAAAGGTCAGGGTGGCGATGCCACACAGGGTCTTGGCTTAGGGGCTGGGAGCCCTGCAGCATKCTGAACAGGAGGTGAGCAAGAGGTCTGCTTTGGTGATGGATAGCTGTGGGTGCTGGGAGGCTGCCTGGGAGCTGTCTGCTGTCATCCCAGCAAGAGTGGAAGGGGCTGGGCTGGGCTGGGCAGGGATAGATCTCAGAGACTCAGGAGGCCAAATTAACAGAATTTATACTGAAACAGCCATGCTGAGGTTTGAACCCCAGAATCTGACAGATTGTGGTCACTGAGAAGCTGCTTGTAGCTAAACAAGTGCATTGCCTCTTCCTCCAGTTATAGTCATACTTCAGTACTTAGAGCTGTGGCTTTTCTCCAAAACCTGTCACTGTGCTCGTCAGTGGAAAAACCCTCCTTTGGGGGCTGGAGTTGTGGCTTAGTGGTAAAGCGCTTGCCTAGCATGTGTGAGGCACTGGGTTTGATCCTCAGCACCACATAAAATAAATAAATAAAAATTAAAGTTTAAAAAAATCCTTCTCTGTAACCTTAACCAGCTAAAAATGGTTATAACCGTAGAAGCTTGTGTTCCCCTAGGGACTGATTTTGATAGAACTAATGGGCGAGGCCAGAGCCAGGTGATCCAGGTTCCATGTGCCTATGATAGGGTTGGGATCTGGCAGAATCTTGTGAGGGGCCAGAGGCTTGATTAAGTGCCCATGTGACTCACTTTGTAAGTAGCCCCCTTGCCTGGCTGCTGATTTCCTGGCTGAAGGGACATGCTCCAGTCACTCCTTTCACTGTCATAAGCAGGGTTTGAGAGCTGAGCCTTAAACATTTTAACTTTTGAACCTGGTCCTGGTGGCAGAGCTCCTCCCTCCTATAGCTTCATCCCTAGGCCTCTGGCTGGGCATGAGAGTTAAGGTTGACCAGCTGTGTGACTCTGGCCAAATGATTCCAGGCTCTTGTTCTGGGCATCTCTTTCCTGTTCCCCAGACCAGACATAGTCATTTCTGCCCTGCCTGGTTGGGGGATTGCCAGGAAGGTGCAACAAGGTCATGGCAGTGCCAATTCTTGGAAAGCTGGGGAGTGCTGAGCATCCTCAAGACGCAGCCTATCCTGGAGGCCTGGCCTTCAGAGAGTGAGCCAGTGTAAGGTCAAGTCTCAGGAGCACCGCTTAATGGGAGACATTTGATGAGTGGTTGAAGATTTCTGAGCCTCAGTTTCCTCATGTTGAAAATGATGTTGAAGGAAGATTCTAGTCAATAAGGAGATGAAATGGAGGAAGAACATATAGCACTGTCTGGCACAGAGAAGACTGAGTGAGTGTTACTGAGGTGTGCAGCCTGCATGTATGTGCATACCTATGTGTGTTGATAGTGGAAGGAGTTTCATATGCTTGGATCACTGTGGCTTCATGTATGGGCTCTGCCTGGGTTCTCTCCTGTAGGCCCCACCCTGGAGCTTCTGATTGAGCAGGTGCAAGGCAGAGCCTGGGCATCACAAATTCTCTAGGGATCCTGTGTTGGGGACCCTGGGTCTCTGGCATGAGTCTTTAGTGGGATCATCCCTCTGTCTTTCAACCTTTCCTGTTGAAGATTTGCAGACATGCAGAGGTGTTGAATAGAGGGTGTGATGCACGCCTGTGTGCTTCCCGAGCACAGCAGTACTTGGCCTTTCCTCATGTTGCTTTACCTGTGTGTGCATTCTAGAAAGAGCTGCAGGAACCTGACCCATACCACAGATATCTCAGTAGGCCTCCCAAGGAAAAGGGCCTCCTCCTACCTACTGCTAGAGGGTTCATTCCAAAGTCTCACTGATACCCRGTCCACTTGCAGTTGAGAGCAACCCGGTGTCCTCTCTTGTGTCTGGAGTAATTCTATTGTTCTATTCCAAACMAGGATCCAAGCAAGACTTATGCCTTGTATTATTACTAATTATCATTTTGCAGTACTGTGGATGAAACCCAGAGTCTCGTGCATGCTGGACGCATGCTGCCTCACCGAGCTCCACATCACCAAGCTCCACCCGCTGCTCCTTGCCTTGGGATGTTTTGTTTCTTTAGTCTCATGACTTGGAACAGCTCCCCCCACCCCCACCAGCTTACTCTTTGAAGAGTCTTGGCCAGTCATCTGTTTTTGATGTATATGTATTTAAAGTTAAAATGTAACTTATGTGACGTTAATGCACAAATTTTAAATACACAACCAGATTTCTTTTTTATGGTTACATTTGTGTAACTACCAATTGATCAAGATGTGGAATGTGCCCATTGTCCAGCAAGTTCCTCCTTGTTCCTTCCCCATTAGTACCCCTCACCTCAGAGGTAACTGCTTCTCTGGTACTTAGCACCAAAAATTAGATTTTAACCCAAGTGTTTTGTAGAACATCTCATATTCTGGTCTTGCCTGCTTGATCCTTGTGGTGGTGTTTGATCCGTTCTTCCAATGGCCTATCTTTCCCATGAGCTGGAAATAAAATATGGGCCAAATGGCAAACCTTATCCTGCTTATCTGACCCCTCCCTCCTCTTCTCCCCAGATGAGCTCCCCCCACAAGAACTCTGTGCCACCATCCCTGGATGAGTACGAGGTGCTGCCCAATGGCTGTGAGGCCCATTGGGAGGTGGTGGAGCGCATTCTGTTCATCTATGCCAAGCTCAACCCGGGCATCGCTTACGTGCAGGGCATGAATGAGATTGTGGGGCCCCTCTACTACACCTTTGCCACGGATCCCAACAGCGAATGGAAAGGTAGACTGACTCTTGGCTGCCCACATCTCATTGCTGGCTCTCTAGAAAAGGGACCAAGGCAAGCCAGGCCAATGGGCCAGAGCAGGCTGAGAAGCCATGTCCCCGCTTGGGCCTCCATTTTCCGTCTGTCAAATGAAGGGTTGACTAGGATCATCTTTAGGAGCCTTTCCAGCTCTGCCTTCTAGAATATTGATGTTTACTGACATCTTGATACTTATAACTTAATTTCTGGTTAAGAAAATAAGAGATGGAATATATATATGTGGAAAGATGAATGGTAAGATTTAAATAATGATTTGAATACTGTCGTCAGGAGGGCATGTAATAAATTGCTGAGTGGACAGTATTGCCAGAAGATGTGAGAAGAAAGTGGTAATGTCCTTAGGTGGGGTGGACAGTGGCCAAGGACAGAGGAAGGACTCATCCCAACCATGAAGGTGTCACCTTGGCGAGGCTTAGAGGTTGGGGTGATGTCCTGGGATGAGAGATCACTTTGGACTTGAGAGCACCTCTCTCCCCACACACCTGCTCACACCCTGTGTCTCTCCCAGAGCACGCTGAGGCAGATACCTTCTTCTGCTTCACCAACCTCATGGCCGAGATCCGGGACAACTTCATCAAGAGCCTGGATGACTCGCAGTGTGGTATCACCTACAAGATGGAAAAGGTGTACTCCACCTTGAAGGATAAAGATGTGGAACTCTATCTAAAACTGGTGAGGTCCCCCTGGATCATACAGGCCAGGGAAGACAGGTGGAAAGGGGTGGAGGTTCCTGAGTGCTGTGGCCCCAGGTGAGGTCTGGCTTGAGTCTGGGGGTTGAAAGTGGCTGCTGCTGCTGCTGGGAAACAGTGGCCCACATGCTTGGGATGCTGGCCTCTGTCCTGGGGGTGCTGGCCCATGTGCTAGGGAATGCTGACCCACATGCTGAGGCAGGTGGGGGAGGCCAGGCCCAGATAGCAGGAGCCTGGCAGGCTGGGAGGGAGGGGGAGTTGAGAACAGTGCCCTGGGTGCCAGGCACAGTGCACTGAGGTAGTGAGGTCTGAGTGAGTTAGAAAGCATTAACTTCATTTAAGAAAAAAAAAAAAAAAACAACTATGATGGCGTGACCTGTGTATTTCAAAAAGCAGTTCAGTAAAAAGAAGATATATTTATATGTAAATGAAATAGTTTTGTGAAAAAAATATAACACAGATTGCCATTTTTGCTATTTAATAGCAAGCTTTTTTTTTTTTTTTTTTTTTTTTTTTAAAGAGAGAGTGAGAGAGGAGAGAGAGAGAGAGAGAATTTTTAATATTTATTTTTTAGTTCTCGGCGGACACAACATCTTTGTTGGTATGTGGTGCTGAGGATCGAACCCGGGCCGCACACATGCCAGGCATGGCGCGCTACCGCTTGAGCCACATCCCCAGCCCACAAGCTTTTTTTTCAGTTAATAATATTCTTTGGGGCACACCTGTAATCCCTTCTAAATGGGAAGGCTGAGGCAGGGGGCTGCAAGTTCAAGGCTAGCCTTGGCAACTTAGATCCTGTCTCAAAATAAAAAGAGATGTGACTCCGTAATGTGTCCCTGGGCTCCMTACTCAGTACCAAAATAATAATAATATTATTCATTGTGGCTGATGAGAGGGTTCATCTCTCAAAGGGAGTAAGTGCCTTAGTGTTGTTGTGTGGACTACATGTGCATACTCTTTGAAGAGTCTTGGCCAGGCTTGTGCTAAGTGTGCAGTGGTGTTCGCTGTGTGTGGCCACAGTCCAGGGTGATAATTTGCACAGTGTTTTAAAAGACTTGGAGCCATCGCTTATACATCTGAGAGCTTAGAGAAGTTGATGTTTCTGGATTCTCTTGGAAAATTAGAAGATCTATCTACATTGGTGGGCGGCAAGAAGCAGCTGCACCTAACAGCAAGGTTCCCTAGGCAACTCAGCGCCCCTCCCCTGCTGCCCCTGGCACCCAGCCCRCTGCGTCCTTAACCTGGAGACCTGGCCTGCTGCCTCCTGGAGTTCACCCCCTAGGCTCATACTAGTATGCGGTAGTCAGCCAACACGGATGCTTGTCTCAACCCACTGCTGTCTCCCCAGCAAGAGCAGAATATCAAGCCCCAGTTCTTTGCCTTCCGCTGGCTGACGCTGCTGCTGTCCCAGGAGTTCTTGCTGCCTGATGTCATCCGTATCTGGGACTCCCTCTTTGCTGATGACAACCGCTTTGACTTCCTTCTCCTCGTCTGCTGTGCCATGCTCATGTGAGTGTGGCCATGACCTGGCCAGTTCCTGGGAACAGACAGAGGGGAGGCCTCTGCYTGGAGGGTGGGCAGGGGCTGCCCTCTCATGACCAGAGCAAGCCTCTTGGTGAGCACCAAGTCAGATGCTGTGGGTGGTGAGGGAGAGGTGGGAGGCTCAGGCTGCACTTGTGTTTGGGCTGCCCAGGGACCAGAACCTTGGCTACTTGTTTTCCTTAGACTGATCCGGGAGCAGTTGCTGGAAGGCGATTTCACCATCAACATGCGGCTCCTGCAGGTAATGCAAGTTGGAAGGGAGCCTGGTCTCAGCCATGAGGCAGGCACTTGCGAAGTACCCATGCAGTGCTGGTTGCCATGCAGACAGGGATCAGGGACAGGAGAGTGTAGTGGTGGGTCAGGGTCCAGACTCCTCAGTCATAGTCCCTGCCTAGCACTGACCTCAAGTGTGGTGTGGCCCTTAAACTAATGACTTGGCCTCTAAATCACATGTTCTCCATAAATTAGTCACACCTGCGATACAGCGGGTGCCCAGCACATGGCTCAGACCTGGGGACATGCAGAGCATGGTGGTTAAGGATGTGGGCTTGGGCTGGGGATGTGGCTCAAGCGGTAGCGCGCTCGCCTGGCATGCGTGCGGCCCGGGTTCGATCCTCAGCACCACATACCAACAAAGATGTTGTGTCCGCCGAGAACTAAAAAAAAATAAATATATTATTTAAAAAAAAAAAAAAAAAAAAAGGATGTGGGCTTGAGGGCCAGACAGCTTTTGGTTCACATCTTGTTCTGCTGTGTCTTCATGTGACCTGAGACAAGTGAAAACCTCCCTAGGCTTCAGTGTCTTTGCCAGTGCCTGGCCTAGGTTTGGTTTTCAATAATGTCCTTAACTAGATCTGTAAAGCCGGCAGGATCACAACAGCTCTGTTGCTGCTGAAGGGACTTGGAGCTGATGCCCACACAGCCAGCAGCCCAGTCCCAGCCCACTTAGTGCAAGTGAAACTCGGGGTTCCATGGCAGGAGGTGGGAGAGGGGAGATTGGACAGTCCTGTCCTGAGGAACAGCTGTGAGACCCTTTGGTTAAATTCATGGGTATAGCCTTGGCAACAAGCAGAGCTTTGGGCAGGATGCACAGGGTGTCTGGTCTTCTGTGGTCCCTGCCCTTGAGGTCCATAGCATGGTGACAGGTCCTAGTGGTAAGGGTATGGGTGTGGCCGAGGTGGCAAGGGCAGCTCTTCAGGGGCACATTGTTGCCTTTCCCATGTCCAGGATTACCCCATCACAGATGTCTGCCAGATCCTACAGAAAGCCAAGGAACTCCAAGACTCAAAGTAGCCTGACAGCAAGAGGCCCAGATTAGGGAGAACAGCCACGTGTCCTCTGTCCTCTGGCTCCTGGAATGTGCAGCGTTCTGAGGGGAAGCAGCAGGTCTTCTGGCCTGCTCTCACAACCCAGGCTGCTCCCACGTGGGCGCACTGTGCTGTGCTCCTTCCTGGCCACCAAGCCCTGGTACCTTCTTTGCTCTTCAGCTCTGGGACCCTCTGCCCAAGCTGCTGAGCAGGAATGGAGCTCCTGAACTTGTTTCTCTGTTGGGGACACAGGATCCTGGCAAGGGACCTTCCCTGCCTCTGCTCTGTTGCTCTCCATCCTTTCCTGCTTCCAGTTTCCTCCTGGGTGCTGGTTGGGGAGGTGCTTGGCAAATGGGCCAGAAACCACTTCTGGGGTTGGTGCTTAGGCTTCTCTGAGAGGAAAGTGACACCAGAGGAGCTAAGCAACTGCCAGGCTAGGGCCACCCCTTGTCTCCCACTGAGCGTGTGTGTCTCCTCACAGCCGCCAGTGGTGTATGTGTCCCAGAATCCCCCAGGTGTCCTGCCTCTGTGTGCACATGCATTTGGAGGTGGGGAGGGTGTCTTGGAGCCCCTCCAGGTCTCCTTGCTTCCCCTTCTCTGTTTCTCTCCTCCCTCTGCTTTGTTCCTAGAGGTGTATGTGATACTCTGTTCCTCTCCCATTATTGTTTCTCTGCCCTTTTCCTTGGGGTGCCTTATCCTGAGCCTCTCCCCACCTCTACTCCATGAAACCTGGAGACAGAATGAGGAGTCCGGCTCAGCAAGGCCCCTGATGGTCAACCTTGGCCTTGGTCATCCCCCAACCTGAGGCTCCCAGTTCCCCCAGACTGGGAAGGAGTCCACAGTGCCTCACTGGAGGGATCTGATCCTGCTCTCCAGAACAGAAATCGTGGAAACCAAAAGTAGCTGAGAAATGGTGGCCCATGTTTTCTCTTGCCCCTGTTTTCTACCCAGGACTGGAGGCAGGAGAGGGAGCCCAGGTGTTTGCAAGAAGTTCCCCCAAAGGTCCTCCTGTCTCAAAGGAAAAGGACATTAAGGTGGCTGTGAACAGGGGTTGGCATCCAAGTGCTTCAGAAATGTTGTCTTGACTTCCAGCCAGGTGCCAACCCAGGGGTGTTCACAAGTCCCATAAAGGGCATTTGGGACCCGATGAAGCCTCCCTGGGTCCTGGTGGAGCTGGACATATAGATTGGATCCTGTCAGTGTCAGGGGGCCATGTCTGCACCTTGGTGTGTCCTCCACACACCAAGGGGGGTGTTGGCCCTCYCCCTCTAGTCACCTGCTTGGGATGTTCCCAGGACTTGGGACAGGGGTATCCTGAGCAGGAGCCACTGACTGCTCCCAGTTCTGCAAGGAGTGTGTTGTGTTCTGACCACATCCCTTCCCAGCTTTTGAGAAGGGCAGGTGGTCTGGATCTGGAAGGCTGGGCAGAGCAAGGGTCCTCACCCTCTCCCCAGACTGGCCAGGAGCTGGCCCAAGCAGCCCCCAAAGCTTTGCTGAGTCTGGCAGGCAGGGCCTCCTGCTGCCCTGAGGCCGCTCTGTGGGCCCAGGGTCTCCTCCCCAGGTTTTTGCCTCGGGGGCTGCCAGGGCTGCTGCACTTGCCTCTTTGCCGCCTTCTCTCCCATCACAGTCCTGGAGATTCTTTCCTATTTATTCTGATTCCTGGCTATTTATTGTAGGTTGGCAAGTGCTTTGGGGTGGGGTGGGGGCTGGGAAGATAGGAGTCGGAAGCCTAGTCTTTTTGTTTCTCAAGGTCAACATTGACATCTTCCCCTGCTTCTGGGTCCTTCTGGATTTCCATCAGGTCCTGGCTGGGATGGCTGTGAACTGGAGTTGAGTGTAGGGAAACCAGATAGCTGGTGTCCATGCCAGATTCAGAGACCCCGGAAATGGGGCAGAGACATACTCTTGCCAGGCTGGCCACCCTTCACCCAGAACTTGTCAGCTTTAGTTCCACCCCAGCTTTGCCCCCGTCACAACTTGAAGCTTGGGCCACTGCCTGGGACCCAGCAGACACTGCCCAGGACACCCGATGCATTCCCTCCTACTTGTCCCTGGCTTCCTTCCTGGGACCATACTACTTGAATCACTGCGTCTGATTTTCCTCAGTGGGAAAGTCCAGTGCCCTCCTTGTCCTTCAGATGAAGGTCAAGAGCCCAGGGACATGTCTTGGTTAAGCTGAACTCCCCAGTGGGATACTGTCTGAGGAAGGGACCTACCCTTGATGCCTCCTCTCCAGATTCTCAAGGGAGATCCAGAGTCAGAGTGCCTGAGGCTTCTACTGGGAAGCTGCCCCAGGACCTTGGTCACTACAGCTTAAGCTGTGAGTGCAGAAGGTCTCAGTCCAGAGGGTCAGAGTGGTAATCTGCTTTTTTTTTTTTTCATGTGTTTTGTTCTTTGAATCAGTGCTGTTGATGATGAGTTGTCTTTAATAAATCATGTGTTCTTTACAGTGGGCATTGGTGCTTGATGGGTTGACACCTTTGAGACATTGGAACAAGGGAAAAAGTAGGGGCAGGGATGGAGTTATAGTCTCTTAGAGCAGTCTAAGGAAAAGGCCAGGAAGTCCTTGTTGGGAGAGCCTGTTCAGTTCTAATCCAACTACAGTGATCTGTAGCTGGGGGAGGGGGGAATGTGAATGTAAGAAGACAGTGCCACATAGTTACATAGCAAGTTGGATTTTAAAACACTGGGCACAATGGCACACACCTGTAATGCCAGTGACTTGGGAGACTTGAGATAGGAGGATTGCAAGTTTAAGGCCAGCTTTAACAACTTAGCTAGGCCCTGTCTCAAAATAGCTTGGTGGTCGAATGTTCCTGGGTTCACTCCCCAGCACTGCAAAACACAAACATACACATGCACACTTAGGTAATTTCATTAGATGCAGAAAAGGTGTATTACAAAATTCAATATTTTTTTCATGATTAAAAACTTGACAGATGAGGCATAATAGGAATATACCTCAATTACATAAAAGCCATAGATGAGAAACCCCCAGCTAACATCCTACTCAGTGGCAAGAAGTTGAAAACTTCCTCTTAAGACCAGGAACAAGACAAGGATGCTCATTCTTGCCACTTGTATTCAAATAGGACTGGAATTCCTAGGCAGAGCAGTTAGGCAAGAGAAAGAAGTCATCCAGATAAGAAAGATTTAAAATTTTCTTTGGACAATATGATCTTGTATGTAGAAAATCCTAAAGACTTCACCAAAACAGTGTGAAAAAAAAATAAGAAAATGCAGTAAAGTTGCAAGATATAAAGTCAATGCAGTCTGGGGTGTAGCTCAGGGTAGAGCTGCTGCTTAGTACGCACAGGGCCTCAGGTTCAGCCCCCATCGCAAAAACCAAACAGGTCAGTAGCATTTTTTAATTTTCTATATATTTTTTGGTACTGGGAGTTGAACCCAAGGGTGCTTTACCACTGACCCACACCCCCCAGTTCTTTTTTATTTTGAGTCAGCCACTCACTAAGTTGCCCTGGCTGGCCTCAAACATGTGATCCTCCTGCCTCAGCTTTTCAAGTTGCTGGATCACATGTGCACTGCCCTGTCTGGCTAATCAACATTTCTATACATTAACAAACAAAAAAGAAAATTATAGTTGGTATGCCACAAAATTTCAAGTACTTCCAGAATAAATGTTTTGCTTTAAAGTGCTGACGATGGAACCCAGAGACTCTCGAATGCTAGGCAAGAAGAACTCTACCACTGGGCTACACCCCAATCCCAGGAATAAATTTAACCAGGGAGATGAAAAATCTGTGCATTGAATATTATAAAACTTTGAAAGAAATTGAAGAACATAAATAAATGGAAAGATCTCAAGTTATGGATTGGAAGAATTATTTGTTAAAATGTTCACATTATCTAAAGCAACGTACAGATTCAGTGCAATCCTGTCAAAATTCCAACGTGGGCTGGGGGTGTGGCTCAAGCGGTATCGTGCTRGCCTGGCATGCGTGCGGCCCGGGTTCCATCCTCAGCACCACATACACACAAAGAARTAAATATTAAAATTTAAAAAAAATTCCAAAGTGATTTTTTACAAGCAAAATGATTTTTATTTTTGGGGGTGCTGGGGATTGAACCCAGGGAGGCTTTACCACTGATGTAAATCCCCAGCCCTTACTATTTTTTAATTTTTGAATCAGGATATGGCTACATTGCTGAGGCTGATATGGAATGCTCATTTCTCCTGCCTCAGCCTCCCTAGTTTCCAGGATCACTGGCATATGCCATTATACCTGGTGCCAATCCTAAAATGTGTATGCAATCAATCACAAAAAATCCCAGATAACCAAGGCAACCTTTTTTTTTTTTTTTAAGAGAGAGAGGATTTTTTTTTTAATATTTATTTTTTAGTTTTCTGGGGACACAACATCTTTGTTTGTATATGGTACTGAGGATCGAACCCGGGCCTCACGCATGCCAGGCGAGCGCACTACCACTTGAGCCACATCCCCAGCTCAACCAAGGCAATCTTGAACAAAAGAAAAAACTGGAGGGGCTGGGGATGTAGCTCAGTGGTAGAGAGCTTGCCTACCATGTATGAGGCCCTGGCTTTGCCCTCTTAACAGGAAAAAAAAAAAAAAAAAGTGCTGTGGGTATCACACTACCTGACTTCAAAATATAGAAATATCAACCAAGAGCTGGGCATGGTGGCACACGACTGTAACCCCAGGGAGGCAGAAGCAAGAGGCCGCCAGTTCAAAGCCAGCCTCAGCAATTTAGAGAGTCCCCAAGCAACTCAGTGAGACCCTGTCTCAAAATACAAAATAGGGCTGGGGATATGGCTCAATGGTCAAGTGCCCCTGAGTTCAATCCCTGGTTCCCGCCCAGCCCTCCAATATCAACCAAGAGAATAGAAAGCCCAGAAATATAGTCAATTGATTTTTAAATTTGTCTTTTAGGACTGAACCCAGGGACAATTTACTGCTGAGAGAGGGCCTAAATTGCTGAGGCTGGCCTCAAACTTGCAATTCTCTCACCTCAGGCTCCTGAGCCCCTGTGATTACAGGCATCTGCCACTGTGCCTAGCTTTTTTTTTTTTTTTTTTTCTTTTTAATTTTTTGAAAGACAAGGTCTAAGATGCCCAGGCTGACCTTCAATTTCCCATCCACCTGAGCATCCTGAGTAGCTGGGATTACAGGCATCACCATGCCTGGTGGAGGAATAAGTTTTTTTCTGAAATCAATTATTGCACAGTATGGTGACTGTGGTTAATAATGTGTATTTTAAATTTGCTAAGAGTTATTTTAAATGTTTTCATCACAAAAATAAGCATTTGAGATGATGGATTATGTTAATCATTTCACATTGCATACATATATTTAAAAAATCACATTATACCTTGCAATATATACAATTATATTTTAACAAGTTACAAAAAACTTGGAAATTCAAAAGTAGGTAATAAGACATGCCCTGCCCCCATCCTACAGTCTAGAGAAAATACATGAAACATGTAGATTTTTATTGCATGTAATTTTTTTATTGCATAATTATTATTTTGATTTTATCGTGTTTGTGTATTGTTCTTCCCTCACCTTAGGTGGTGAGAAAGTTACTGTATGACTTTAAAATATTTAATGGTCTGAATTCTGTTCTAAGTACAAAAAAGAAAAAAATACCCTTAACCAGTTCCTATTTTAACATTTGCCATCGCAGCCTCTAGCATAAGCCGTACTGCGCTAAGCATGTGTTTCAACTCCTTACATTCTCAGCTTATTTCCCCAGCTCAGTCCTCTAGGTGGGTTGAAGATATGAACCCTTTTGAAGCTTTTCACACACACTATGAAAGCTGCCTTCTGGAATCTCTGTACCAAGTTTCCGTTCGTCCTGCAGCTGGCCTCTGCTGCCTGCGTCCTTGCTCCTCACGCCAGGTAATAAGGAAATCGTTGGCAATCTAGAAGTCTTGGTTGTTCTGTGGTGTACTGATCAGGAGATCTCCTACTCGGAGTCTGACAGACCTGGGGTCCTGTCCGGGTTCCGCCAACTCCCCTGGGGCAGTTGTGAGGATTAAATTCAGTGATGAAAACGCTTTACAGTCCCGCGTGAGTCTCCGGTGGCGCTGACGCGGAGCGCCTTGCACAGGCGCAAAGGGGAAGGTCCGAGGCGGTGGTGCAAGGGGTGAAGGCGGAGCCATATCTTGGGCCTGAGACTTAAAGGGCAAAGAAAGGGCGCCGGGCACTCACCTGGGGCCTGTCCCACTTCCTTTGGTTCTGAATCCCAAGCCCTTGGAAGCGTTTGCCAGCGGAGGGAAAGGACATTCCACCCTCCACGACCCCCACCCTGCGTCAGCCCTGCTGTGGGCCCCGCGGTGCGACTATGCCCCTTTAAGAGCGCCGGGGGTGGGTAGGCCCGAGGTCGCGGCGTGCGCCGCATCCCCTCGCGGAGCTGCTTGGCCATGGCGCTGCGGGTCGGCCTGACCCTGGCGCTGGGCGCGGGGCTGGGTGCGGCCGCCGAGCACTGGAGGCGGCGACGGGCAGACGCGCAGGCGACGCCGGGGCTGCTGGGGCGGCTGCCCGTGCTGCCCGTGGCGGCGGCGGCCGAGCTGCCTGCCGTGCCCGCTCTGCCTGGGGGACCGGCGGGCCGCGGGCCCGGCGAGCTGGCCAAGTACGGGCTGCCCGGCGTGGCGCAGCTCAAGAGCCGAGAGTCGTACGTGCTGTGCTACGACCCGCGCACCCGCGGCGCGCTCTGGGTGGTCGAGCAGCTGCGGCCCGAGCGACTCCGCGGTGACGGCGACCGCCGCTCATGCGACTTCCGCGAGGATGACTCGGTGCATGCATATCATCGCGCTACCAATGCCGACTACCGCGGCAGCGGCTTCGACCGCGGCCACCTGGCTGCTGCCGCCAACCATCGATGGAGCCAGAAGGCCATGGACGACACCTTCTACCTGAGCAACGTCGCGCCCCAGGTAGCGCTCACGCCCTAGACCGGGCTGCGGAACGCGGGGCCAGCGTCCCGCCTCCCTGAGCCTGAGGCTGTTTGCCGAATGCGCGCTCCAGGTCCTAAGCGTATAGAGCGCTCCGGGCGGGAGGGAGGAGCCCTGGGGCTCTGAGCGTGGGCTGTGCCTTCAGACGTGGACTTGAACTTAAAAAAACTGAGCCCTGGGCACCTCCTTGTTCTTCAGTTTCTTCCTCTGTAAAATGGGGATGAGCCCGGGACGGTGGCGCATTCTTACAATTCCAGCAGCTGGGGAGGCTGAGGCAAGAGGATCGCCAGCTGAGTCCGGCCTGGGCAACTTAGTGGAGACCTGCCTCAAAATAAAAAGCTGGGGTATAGCTTAGTGGCAGAGCTCAGGTTTCATTCCCAAAAAATAAGTTAAATAAAATGGGGATAAAACTTCTGTTCACCTCCTTGCAGTGGTGATGAGTCAAAGGGCCCAGCACAGTTCATGGCCCACTGATCACTGGCTACACTGAGGGAACAGGCTCAGAAGGTGGGAGTAACTTCGTGGTCCACACAGCAGGAGGAGAATCTAGGCGGCAGTCTAGAGGAGCTGAGACTTCAGTCCTGTGTGCCTGTGAGCAGTTACCAGGAACACTACTAGCAAGTGGGCAGGCAGGCAGGGTGTCACTGCCAGTCACTACATCCTAGACCAGCTGCTCTACCTCTGGCTGGGTTCCCAGCAGAGCCTGGCACCCAGGATGGAGACAGATGGGCTGTGCGTGAAACCCATGAACACAAGCCTCCCACCCAGCTTCTTTCCCATGCACAATCCTCTATCCATTTTTCCTAGACCTTGTCCTGTGATCTCACTGTCGTTGAGGGCACATAATAGTGAGATGGAGGGCTCTCCTGAGACCCTGGAGAGCTCAAATGGCCCTCAGGGTCCTCAAAGGGGGAGAAGTTCTCCTTTCTTTGTATAGCTCTTTGAGCTGGAAAATGATTTGTGAGAGTGGGGGGTGCAGGAGGGATCCTTGTCAACCCTGCCCAGGCTCTGTCCATCCTTGTAGCCACATGGCCTCTATTCCTTCCTTGAGCTTCAAGTTTCCTCTGCCTGCATGCCCCCCACCCCACCCCTGGGCCCAGAGTAGCCCTGTGGCAGGGGGGAAAGGGTCCCAGGCATGATCCCACTCTGGTTCACTTCTTCCACCAGGTGCCCCACCTCAACCAGAATGCCTGGAACAACCTGGAGAAGTACAGCCGCAGCTTGGTCCGCACCTATCAAAATGTCTATGTCTGCACAGGGCCGCTCTTCCTGCCCAGGTGAGGTCCCAAAAGTCATCACTCATCTGGTTTCTTGGCAAGTCTGTTTCTGCCTTGGGCCCTCATTCCTCCTCTGCAGTGAATCCTTTGGATGCCCTCCTTAGACCAGCTCTCTCTGGTCACAAGGCCCTGAACCTCCCCTTGCTCCTCTCCTGACACCTCCTGCCTCATGTTCTGCAGGGATGGAAGCCCTCACTGTTCTCGCACCAGGCTCTTGCCTTCTGTCTCTGCTTGGCTTGGAGTGACCCTTCCCTGCCCTCCAATCTGCCTGATCTGGGCTTTCACTTCAGCCCCTCTGCACCTCTGTCTCCCAGGGTAGAAGGGCTGAGCTCCTGTGGTCAGGGTCAGTGATGTTTCTGGTGCATAGAGGACAAGGCCAGATGAGGCAGTAGGTCACAGCTAAGCAGTTGCCTCTTAAGTCCACAAGCATGGGATGGAATCCAGGCCTTACATCTASTCCCTCGGTGCCATGGGTCAGTGACCTCACCTCAATGTCTTTCCTTGTAAAATGGGATTACAACATGTGATCTCATTGTCGCTGAGGGCACAGAATGGTGAAATGGAGGCAACACTGCTGAGAAGCCAGTCGCCCATCCAGTGTCCCCACACCTACATGTATCTCATGCTGGCACTGGGGTTTCCGCTGCCTTGGCCTTTGCCCTCTTGGTGCACTGCTACAGGACAGACAAGGCAGCCAGAATGTGTCAGTGCTAGTGAACTGAAGATGAGAGGACTGATTCTTCCAGCAGCATTTATTGCCACCCACTCTGCCTGACTCCTGTGGGTTCCAGCCCCAAGGAGGAGCCGGACAGGGCACAGAAGCCTCACAATGAGGGGGCGATCTGGTGGGGGGCAGAAGGTGGAGGTCAGGCAAAGGAAGGCTTCCTGGAGGAAGCAGTCTTGGGTCCATCCAGGACCCTTGGTCATGTACACCTGGGTCTGCCCACAGGACGGAGGCCGACGGGAAGTCCTATGTAAAGTACCAGGTAATTGGCAAGAATCACGTGGCAGTGCCCACACACTTCTTCAAGGTGCTGATCCTGGAGTCAGCGGGTGGACAAATCGAGCTCTGCTCCTACGTGATGCCGAACGCACCCGTGGATGAGGCCATTCCCCTGGAGCGCTTCCTGGTGCCCATTGAGAGCATTGAGCGGGCCTCAGGACTGCTCTTTGTGCCAAACATCCTGGCACGAGCAGGAAACCTTAAGGCCATTACTGCTGGCAGCAAGTGAGGGCAGCAGCCTAGAGACTGGGGGCCTAGGGCCTAGGGCCTGGATTGCATTAAAGAAGGTTATTTTTGGAGAGAAGTCTTGGCTGTGGCTGTCCTGATGGCCTGCAGTAGCCCCGTCTCACAGCTGCTTCACCAATATCCGACACTCATGGGAACCTTTAGGTGGTCTGAGTGCCTGCCTGGGTGAGGCTGGGCTGCAGGGCTGCCAGAGAGATGAGTATGGCTTCCTGGAAGTGAAGAGAATGCGAGACTGGAGCCGGGGAGGCAGGTGGGTGCCAGCTCCTACCTGACCACCCAGGCCCCACCCCATGAGCTGACTGCTCTTAGTGGCCCTGGGAGGTTAAGGGCCAGCTAGGTTCATCCTGAGATCTGCCCTGTGGCAGGCAGCACGCCCTGCTCTTGTGTACTCTCGAAATTGGGCATGACAGTACTAATGCCAGCCTCCCTAGGCTGGGGAGGTGATGCCATGGGCAGAGTTCTCCACCTTCCCTGAATGGGTGTCAGGGGTGGGGTCGGGTTTCTGCTGTGGGTATGGCTGGCAGGCTCAAGCACTTGGGCCGGGCGGGCCTCAGGGTCAGGGAGACCAGGGCTATCTGTGAAGCTACCACCCCACTGAGACTGACAGGCAGTACAGCCTCTGTCACGAGGACAGCATTCTGTGTGAGAGGTGAGCGCACTGAGGCTTTCAGCTCCAATGGCACAATGCTTCCTAGTGGACAGGGATGCAGGTGACACCTGAAGGGACAGCAGCCATACCCATTGAGGTCACAGGAGAGGAGGTGGCAGAGCCGGAGTCACTGAGGARCACTAAGTATACAGTAATAGAAACAGAAGCCCACACGGGATGCACAGGTTGCCTGGGGACCACTGGGAGCACAGGACTAATACTGGCACCCAGGATTCAGGACCCCTCCTGCACTGCACTCATCTCCCTGCCACAGTTTGTGATAGTGAGGGGTGAGGAGTCCCTTTCCAGTGAARGCACTTTGGCCAGGATGGGCTACCAGGCCAGCTGCTAACTACCTTGGACAGATCTGAGGCCCCCAGCTGCTGACTGGAGGTCAACACAGGTGGGCTCACCTCAGTGCGAATGGTGCGACTGCCCTGGTTGGGGCACGTGTTGACATACAGGTCGAAGAGAACACTGGGTTCAGTCACCTCCAGGTTGGGGTCAGCATCCACTCCAGCTTCTAGCCCTTGGAGGCCCCCAAACACTACCACTGCATGCCTGTCACCCAGAGGGGAAATCAGTAACTATTCACCAAGGCCCCACGGAACACAGTCCCAGAGTACAGCAAGGGCCCAGCCTAGGCAGCTTGGCCCCACCAGGCAGGTACCTGCCTCTTTCTCCTCCCCTGGCCTCTGTCCCCTGTCCCCTGCCACAGGCAGCACCCACCTGAAGCTGGGCAGCTGGGCAGAGGCCACATCTGAGCCACGCTCTGAAGTCCCAATGGTCAGGTCATACCCGTCCTGGAAGGGCGCCTCAGAAAACACAGCACCTGGGGGTGAGGCCAACTCAGTGGGAGTCCTGCTCTTGGCTGTGTGTTCATTACATTGAAGGGGTAGGGTGGAGCTGGGGCTCAGGTAAGGGGGCCCTCCACTACTCTTGAGAAGTCAGAACTGGGCACAGTGGAGACCAAGCCTGCAATTAGTTGGGGAAAAAACAAGGTGGGCAGGAAGCAGCTCTAAGAACATGGAGAACTTTGATCCTATTGTCCCTATCCGAGACATCATCAGTCAACTCTGATACTCTTCCTCAGAAGTCCTCAAGAACATTCTAGGCAGTGCATTCAAGGAGACCAAGCTAACAGAAAAGATAGTTGCTCAGGACACACTCAGTATGGTAGGGCAAGGACTGTGTTTTGACTTGTGGGTCAAGGAAGGCTCTCTGCCACCTCCCAGACAGAGGGCTGGCTGGATATTCAGAGAGAGAAGCTCTGTCCTTACTGAGGCAGGAGGCTAGCCGGACTGTGTAGCCCCAGTAGAGACCGGCTTTGGTGCGAGGGTCCTGTGATGACACAACTGTTCCCCGGTAGGTCTTACATTCTGGAAGGGAAATGGAGAAGCTGTGATGATGAGCCAAGGGGAAGGGAGTTGGAGGGAAATTTGGAGACGTGGGGCTGGCTAGACCACCATAAAAGTTAAGGAAGCTTCCAGATACCTGGGAGCTGCTTCTGATTCAGTCTCACAGTCACTCGAAGTCCAGGCTCCAGGTTCTTGTCAATCTTCACCTCCTGGGGAGAGGCCAGAAGAAATGGATGCTGTTTCCCACCACAACCAGTAGGAGGCATTGCCCTCTGAGACCCTGCTGGGGGAACGCCAGGGTGGTATGGGACCCAAGGGGTTCAGGTCAACTTACAATCCTCCTGCTTTGGAATGGGCTAGACCTGTTCATAGTACTATCACAAGATACTGGTCAGAAATTAAGGCTGGGGGCTTAGCACACACAGGGAGTTTTCCCCAATAGATGAAATCCCAGTTTTCCACATTTTGATCATTCTGCTAATTACTGGCTATAGTAATTTGAGCAGGTCACTTAGCCCCTGAACCTCAGTTTCCACATCTGCCAAACTGAAAACCCTTCCACAAACAACAGCTATTCTTAAACTTCTCAAGCTCTGGCATGAAGTAAATGGTTAAACATTAGCTGTGATGAGTGACAATGATTTGTGTTCTGCGCCATTTTGGAATTTATCACCCTTGGTGGGCACTCTCTTATCATTCTGAGAGTTTCTCATGCTTTTCCCTTTTGTTTGTGTCGTCCTGGTCTGCTTTTAGCCATTCATGTCTGCTCTGTTCTTTTTTTGGGGTGGGGGAATCTTTCTGTCTCTGACTCCAGGGGACTTGAGTGAACAGGAAGTAAATTAGTGTTCTACTCCCAAGTTTGGCTCCGTGTCACACTGGAGTCTAAGTGGTTTTCAATTTGTTATTACAGGGTTCTGATTTGTTTTTTTAATATTTTTTAGCTGTAGATGGACACAATACCTTTATTTATTTATCTTCATGTGGTGCTGAGGATCAAACCTAATCCTCACCTCTGCTAGGCGAGCGCTCTACTACTGAGCCACAACCCCAGCCCCCTCTGACTTATTTTTGATCTGCTTTTAAAAAAACAGTAAAGCTGAGGTGCAGCTCAGTGGTAGGGCACATGTTTAGCAGGCTTGGGTCCAATCCTCAGCACCAAAAATAAATACGTAAAAAACAGTACATTTGCTCCTGCCTTATCTCTTAAGGCTTGTTTTGGGCTCTTCCTGGCCCAAATATGCATCAGTGGGGCTTTACAGTCAGGTCACCCCACCTACATGCCCTGCCTGCCCTCCATAGCTGGCGTGTGTCCCCTAAGTACGTCACAGCCCCCCCCCCCCCCAGTTCTTACCTTCTTCATTCCACAGTTAACAAAAGAGCCATGGCCTGGTCGGGTGGGCCTGTCTACCACGATGCCTTCTCGGAACTCGGATTCCTCATCCTGGCGCATGTGGTGAGGGCTATCCAAGGGGTTCAGGAGCCCTGGAGGGGGTGGCAGGAGGAGTCTGGGAAGTGCCAAAGCATGCAAAGATGAGGCCAGGACCCTGGTTTAAGTCGCAGCTCTGCCACAGACCTGCAGCTGGACATTAGGCATGACATTGCCCTCCTGGGCCTGCCTTCCCCTGAATACCTGGTAGGGGACTGGATGCTTTTCTCGTGTCTGAGGGGTGATATATGGGAAGAGGGATCAGGCCTACCAGGCATACCTGCAAACTGTAGATCCTGGTGCTTGGGGAAGAATGCCTTTCTCAGGTACCTAGTAAAGAATGCAGATCTCAGGAAGTTCCCAGGGGAAGCCACCTCCTAGCTCACCTGCATGTTGATCCCATCCACCCTCCCACCCCACCCATGACCAAGGAAGTCACTGCTTACTGTGGACACTCCAGGTACTGCAGGATACGGGCCAGCTGTACACATGCCTGCCCCTTCTTGCCGACTCCCTTAAATTCTCCTTCCACAGTCCTGGAGAGAAAGACATGACTCAAAATCCAATTTATGGCTTCGGATATAGCTCAGTGATAAGAGTATATGCCCTGAATTCAAAATCCAGCACAAAAACCAACCACACAAACAAAAGCAAACAACAGTCTCATTCTAGAGCTCCTCCCACCTAATGTGACCTCTGTGGTCATTGCCCATGCCCGGCCAGTGGACCCACTAAGGATTATACTGCACCATTTTAGACAGGGTACTCTGGAAGAGTTGGGCAGGTGGAAAGAGTAAAGTCACAGCCAACCCTGGCAGCCCCTTCCTCCTCCCTGAACTCCCAGGCCCTTGGGATGGCCTCTCACTTGGCATCGTGACCCTCCTCATCGAACACCACAATCTCATCCACACAGAAGATGGCACAGGCTCTGGCAATCTGGCCAGCCAAGTAGGTACGAAGCTCAGGTGACTGGGCATTGTCCAGGATAGAGCCTGGCAGGGCCACGCTAAGAGTGTAGGGCCGTCCTAGGCAGCAGAAGAGGGTGTTGTTAAGCATGCATTATTTACAATGGGAAGTCAAAGAAACAACTTCATTGTGAAATAAAAATTAAATGAAAATGAAATTGAAGCATTCAGAAAGCTCAATAAGAAAGTAAAAACAACAACAACAATCATTAATACCATGAAGTTTTAGTCTGGGGATGTAGTTCAGCATGTGTGAGGGCCTGGATTTCATCCCCAGCAGAAAGAAAAAGAAGAAAGGAGAAGAAAGGCAAGGCAGGGAAGGAAGAAAAAGTTAAGAAATCTACTTAAGTAGGAGGTTAGGACTCAGCAAAGAGTCCCTCCTCTTCTCTGGGTCTCAGTTTCTATCAGGACATTTGGACTCAATGGTCACTTGAGACTCTTCCAGATATGACATTCTCTGCTCTGCCTGCAGGACATCTGCTGAAGCCACATCCTGTGCCCCTCCGCAGGACTCAGCCACACACCTTGGTTTTCCCTCTGGGCAGCTGCCTCCTCCTCCTCCTTCTGTTGCTTTGTCTGCTCCTCTTGTGCCCGTTGCTTCTCCAGTTTTTTTGTCAATTTCATGTCCTTCCACTTCTTTTTCTCCTCTTTCTCTGGATAAGAGAACATCCTGATTGGTGTGGGGAGAGAGTGACTTGGAGCAGTTAGAGGGATCATTACCTCTCATTAGGACAGCTTGAGTGCTGGGGTATTGCTGGCAAGCAGCCAGAGCCTACTACCCTTGGGTGCTRTGAGACCCAGAGGGGATAAATTTGTGTCCTTCCCTGTGTCTGGTCAAGGCTGGCTGTGTTCTCCTGGAATGGCCTGGGCACAGTCACTCTTTCCCACCCCAGGCCCAGGCAAGCCCAGCCGGTACGTACTCTGTTGCTTCCATTTTCGCCACTCCACCCTTTGGCCATGTTCACCCTGGAGTAGGAGTGGGAGGAGGATTAAGAGTGAGAGGCTGAATGGTCACATCTGCGAAGGGAGCACACACAGAGCTCCACAGCCAACCTGTCCCTCTACCACAGAAAACGCCTCAGGAGGGCAGGGACCCCCTGTACCCACAATGCCTGAGATCAGGCCATGATAAGCATTAAACTGTTGAATGAGTTCGGCACAGGGGCAGGACCGGCCGTAGCCGCCATGGGAATCAGAAGACAAGGCAAGAAAAGGCTCAGGGTGAGGGCGGGTTCCACCTCTGGAATGGAGCCCCAGCCGCAGAACCACAGGGACTCGTCGGCCTTGGCTGCCCGCCGAGTCCCAGCGCTGGCCTCGGCCCCGACTCCCACCTCCTAATCGCGGGGGCACACGCGTCCACCGGCGTGCAGCACCTTCCTCGAGGAGCAGGGAGCGGGAGGCGCTGCCGGGACCCGCCACCAGCCCCCATGTGGGTCGTTCTCACGCCCCGAGCGCCGAGGGCTGGCAGGACCCCCACCTACCAGTACCTACCGGGCCGCAGGGCCGCTTCCTCGCGCGCTCCGCCATGTTCCGCCGCGTGCCGTCGGCCACGCCCCTGCCAATCAGACCCATGCCTTCCGGCCACACCCCCGCCGAGCCGTCCAATCGGAGAGCTAGTGGGGCGTGGCCGAGGTGCGTCCGCGAGGGGAGCGCTTGGGCACTGGTGGGCTCAGTGGTGGGGAGCGCGGCCTTCTGGGTCTTTCTCCGGCCCCACGTTGGATGGAGAGCCGCGTTCTTGAGTCGGCACCAGCCAGACCTCAGCGTCGTTTTATGCAGGGGGACTCTCAGGCCCAGAGSTGGAAATCACGTTAGAAACAATTTAGTCCAGTTTTTTTAAAAAATACATTTATCTTTGTATGTGTGTGTTTATGAATTTTATGTGGCGCTTAGGATTGAACCCAGTGCCTCACACGTGCCAGGCAAGCGCTCTGCCACAACTCCAGCTCTTACTTTCCCTTTACTTTCTCTCTCTCCCTCTCTCCCCCAACCTCTCTCTTTTGTACCCAGGGAAATTACCACTGAGTTAAGTCTCCGTTTCTTTGTATTTTTTAAATTTGAGGCAGGGTCTCATTAAGTTGCTTAGGGCCTCACTAAATTGCTGAGTGCTGGCTTCAAACTTGCAATCCTCCTGCCTCAGGCTCCTGAGCTGCTGAGATTACAGGCATGCGCCACCACCTGGCCAAAGCAGGGTTTTTTTTTTTTTTTTTTTTAATAAAAAAAACAGGTTTTTTATGTGGTGCCCAGTGCGTCACACATGCGAGGCAGGTGCTTTACCACTGAGCTACAGCCCCAGCCCTAAAGCAGCTTTAATTTGAAAATTGAAGAGTTTGACACAGACCTCTTCTAAACCTGTATTTTTTAAAATTGTTAACATCTTGCAGTGGTGTGCTACATTGTTATACTTGGTAAACAAAAATGATACATTGTTATCAACCAAGGTTCTGTAGTCTACCCAAGAGTTTTCTCTTTGAGTACATTCTGTTTTTGTTGTTGTTTAGTTGTAGATGAAGACAATACGTTTATTTATTTATTTGTATATGGTACCGAGGAAGGAACCCAGTGCCTCACAATGCTAGATAAGAACTCTACCACTTAGCTATGACTCCAGCCCCATTCTCTGGGTTTTGACTGAAGCATAGGCATGTATCATTATTACAGTAGGAATTTGTCTCTATAGTTTTACCTTCCAGAATTTCATATAGTTGAAATCATACAATATGTAGCCTTTTCAGATTGGCTTCTTTCATTAAAGGATACAAATTTAAGTTTCCTCCATTCTTTGTGTGACTTATTCATTACTTTTTATTGATAGATGCTATTTTATTGGATGGATGTGCCACAGTTTATCCATTCAACTTTTCAATTTGCTTCCTTCTCTCCCTCCCCCAAACTCCTTCTCCTCCTCTATTTTTTGGTACTGAAGATTGAACCCAGTGGGGCTTAACAACTTAACTACATCCCCAGCCCTTTTTATTTTTTTTGTTTTGAGACAAGGTCTTGCTAAATTGTGGAGGTTGGCTTCAAACTTGCCATCCTTCTGCTTCAGCCTCCTTAGTCTCTGGGATTACAGGCTTGCACCACCATGCCCAGCATGCACGCACACGTGCCCCCCCCCCACACACACACTGCTGGAAATGAATCTCAGGGCTGTGTGTGCTAGAGCAATGCTCTAACACTAATCTACACCTCTAGCTCTGCTTCCATTTATTGGCAATTATAAACCAAACTGCTATAGATATTCACATGTGGGGTTTTGTATAAATGTGAGTTTTCAATTCATCCAGGAGCCCAGATGTTGGGTCCAATGGTAAGACTGTGTTCAGCTTATGTTCAGCTTTGTAAGAAACTGCTAAACTCTCTTCAAAGTGATTGGACCACTTTGCCAGCAATGAATGATACATTTAAAAGCAAATATTAAAGATAAGCCAGGGAGTTATGTGGCTCAGCGGTAGGGCACTTGTCTGGCACGTGCAAGGCCCTGGGTTCAATCCTCAGCACCACATATAAATAAATAAAATCAAGGTATTGTGTCTAACTACAACTAAACAAATAAATATTCAAAAAGAAGATAAGCCACATGTAGTGGTATATGCTTGTAATTCCAGTAACTCAGGAGGCTGAGGCAAGAGGATCACAAGTTCAAGTCTAGCCTCACAAATTTAACAAGACCCTGGGGCTAGGGATAGACCCTGGGTTTGATTCCTAGCACTGCAAAAATAGATAAACAAACAAATAAATAATAAAAAAATAAATTTAGTATCAGCTGGCATTAAACTTTAAACTTCAATTCCAATACACATGAATTGAAACATTACATGTAGCCCCTGATACATAAAAACAAATTTGTTTTTATGTATCAGTAAATAAAAGAAAAATTTTAAGTCCATATGCCAGATTCTTGAACATTTCAGACACCATAAAAAACATTCTTGCATACTGACCATAATGATTATAAAGTTACTTCTTACTCAGTGTATGTTGATATTACAGGGACGTGTTTATTGTACCTTTTCTCTCCATACCCTGAATGAAGGTGCACGGTCACGCATACACAACTAAGACGAGATCTATACTCGAGCTGAGTGACTCATCCTAAGGTTTGGAACCTCTAAAATGGTTATGGGAACATTCTTGGTTGATTWATGAGACATGGGGTCTTTGGTAGGGTGGTTCTAATCAAGAAATCCATGCGTTTACCACCATCAAGGGCTTTGCCAATTTCAGGCTACTTGGTGTGCTGTGGTCAGGGGCTCCACCGCTGAGCCCTGGCGCTGGCATTTCATTTCATAGTAGTCCTYTGGGCCAGTGATAGTACCACACTGTGACTTAGAAGGAAAAAGAGGGTAGTTACTTATGTTGTTCTGGCACCAAATAGGTCCCAATGAYAGTTCTAGGCTGGGGATGTGACTCTGTGGTGTAGCACTATGCCTAACATGTGTGAGACCTGGGTTCCATTCCTAATACCATAAGAAAATATAAGTAAATAACAATTCTTTTTTAAATTTTTTTTTATTTGTAGTTGGACACAACACCTTTTATTTATTTATTTATTATTTATTCTTATGTGGTGCTGAGGATTGAACCCAGCGCCTCGCACGTGCTAGGCGAGTGCTCTACCGCTGAGCCACAACCCCAGCCCCTAAATAAATAACAATTCTGACACTAAATTAGTATCCTACGATTAAGTTTTTTTTCTTTTTCTTTTTTGGCACTAGGATGAACTCAGGGAAATTTACCACTGAGCTGTGTCCACTTTTTATTTTTTATTTTGGGACAGAGTCTTGCTAATTTGCTTAGGGCTTCACTAAGTTGCTGAGACTGGCTTTGAACTTTTGTTTCTCCTGCCCCAGCCTCCTGAGTCACTGGAATTACAGGCATGTGCCACTGTGCCCAGCAAATTCAATCCTGACAACTATCAAAGTTAGTGTAGAAGCCACAGGTTACGGGCTCGGGCCCATAGGACTGGCTCTGCTTCAGATGCTGGTCAACAGTGGGGTCTGCAGTTTGCCTGCACTTCTGCCTGGCTGGCTACAAACTTAGATATTTCCCACAATCCTCCCTCAGGTTCTATAATTTCTTAGAATGACTCACGGAACACAGGAAAGCTCTGTTTGCTATTACAGCTGTAAAGGACACAGCTGAGGAAGAGCCAGATGTTAGAAGTACATGAGGCAAGGTATCAGGGGAGGGGGCACAGAGAGCTCCTGTGCCCTCTCTAGCCACCCACCCACTCTCTAGAACAAGGAGGTGTTCACCCAACCAGAAGTTGCCTAGACCTCATGGTTTCAGGGTTTCCATGTGGGGTTGATAAACAATTTACAGGGCATTGTTTTGGACTAAGCTCCTGCAGGGGCTCCAAAAGACCAGACCAAACCAGAATGGAGTCACTCATGCTTTGTGGCATGTGATAAAATAAAACTTTGAAAATGAACCACTTTTCCAGAACTCAGAAGTTCACAGCATGGGCTGGGGATGTGGCTCAAGCAGTAGCGCGCTCGCCTGGCATGCGTGCGGCCCGGGTTCGATCCTCAGCACCACATACCAACAAAGATGTTGTGTCTGCCAACTAAAAAAAAAAAAAAAAAAAAAAAAAAGTTCACAGCAACCAGTGAGAAGGAGCTCAGTGTACCTGAGCCAGTGTGGTAAATGAGTCCCCTCCATTGTAGCCCTTTAAGGAAACGAACATTGAAGTGACCAGTTCTTATTTCTGCTTTCTTCAGTCCTTTACTGCCTATTAAGCCAATCCCTTCTGCTCAGCTGATCTGAGCACTCATCCTATTTTATAAAACTAGCTATTGGGGCTGGGGATGTGGCTCAAGCGGTAGCGCGCTCGCCTGGCATGCGTGCGGCCCGGGTTCGATCCTCAGCACCACATACCAACAAAGATGTTGTGTCTGCCGAAAACTAAAATAAATAAATATTAAAAAAATTCTCTCTCTCTCATCTCTCTCTTTCTCTTTAAAAAAAAAATCAGTCCTAATATGGGCTGAGAAAAAAAAATAGATATTACCTGATTCCAGAATCACTAATAAGTGCCAACATTTTAGTCAGCTTTTTTGCTACTGTGACAAAAAGACCTGACAAGAACGACTTTAGGGGTGGAAAAGTTCATTTGGGGCTCTTGCCTTCAGAGGTCTCAGTCCATAGACAGGTGGCTCCATTCCTCCGGGCTCAAGATGAGGCAGAACATCATGGTGGAAGAGTGGCTGAGGAAAGCAGTTGGGAGCGTAGCTCCAGGAAGCAGAGAGAAACTCCACTCAGCAGATATACATGTATATCCCAAGGCCATGGCCCCCAACACCCACCTCCTCCAGCCACACCCCTAATCCTCAATTACCACTCAGTTATTCTATCAGGGGATTCATTCACTGATTGGGTTAAGGCTGTCACAACCCAATCATTTTACCTCTGAATGTTCTGCATTGTCTCATATGAGCTTTTGGGGGACACTTCATGTCTAAACCATAATAGCTAATAAGATCTTTACACTAAGTTTGCTGTAAATTTCTCTTTTCACAGGTGTATTATCTGGGYGTCACTG